CCTTCCTCTGCTCCACCAAAGGCCGCCTCCTGCTGGCCGAGTCGGTGAGTGCGGGGCTGCGGGTTCGAGGCCCGCGACCCCGGCGTCGGGGAAGGTGGGGGGGTGCTGCGCTCCGACCCGCATCTCGGCCTTCGCGGGCGGAGGAACCCCCCGGAATCGGCCCGACGCCCCAAGTGTTGCAAAGCTGCACCACGCCCGAGCGCGAGTTGGAGACGAAAACTCCAACCCTCGGGGGCCCAAGTTGGGGGGCGTGGGTCGCGGATGAGGGAGCGCTGGTGAGGGTCACACGCCCTCCCTTCCCCCCCCCCCCGCCCCGGGCGCTGTGTGACCTGGGCGCGTCCACCCTCTCTGGGCCCGCGGGACGGCTGTGCCTCCGCTTTTTCTGGCCTCCATCGCGCTGCGCCCCGGAGGATCAAAGAGTGGAGGCGGGAGCTGGGGTGCTGGTGGGAGAGGGGCGCGGGGATGGGGTCCCCCGGGAGTGGGTGAGGCCCGGCCACGCAGTGGGGGTGCGGGCGGCCCTCGGTGCAACAGGGGCGTGGGCCCGGAGGCCCAGGGTGACTTCATTCCCTCTGCCCGCCCCCTCTGGGCGCCTTCCTCCTTCCCCACCCCAGCGCAGGGCTCCTTTGTCCTCCCGACATTCCCTCCCTCCCTCCCGCACTGTCGCGTGTGGGGCGGGGACTGTGGTGTGGGGCCGCCCGGGGTGGGGAGCCAGGGGCCAGGCCGGAGCCGGAGGAGGGAGCCGTCCTCAGCCACTTGGTGCTTAGATCCTCAGCAACTTGACCCTAGAGGTGGCAATTGGGAGAACGTTCCAGAAGAGATGTCTAGGGCAGCTGGCTCGTTGGAGGGACCCAGTGGGAGGGTAGAAGGGCTGCGAGAGGAAGATTCCTGTCCCCACTCTTGTCCCTCCAGGGCCGGTGGCAGCCCCTCTTGCTTTATGCTCAGGTCGGGCTTGGCACCTACAGGCACTTCCAGGGACGGCCTCCAGGCTTGGCCACGCCTGGGAACCACTTTTGGGGAGACACCTTGACTCCACCGCTCACAGAGGAGGCTCCAGCTCCCCCCCACACACACACACTCAGGGCAGGGGACAGGAATGCCCGCCAGAACTCAGAGGAGGCATTGCCTAGCTGGGTGTGAGGATTCCAGGCTGAGGAGGATGAGGAAGGAAGGGGGGGGGGGACCGTCACTCCTGCCCCTGGCCTTCCTCCCGCCCCAGGCTCTGGGAAGTGGGGAGGCTGACATGAGCAGGAAAGAGGAGGAAGTTGGCTCCCAAGAACTGACAAATGAGAAAGCAGGACCCCAGCAGGAGGAAGGGGGGGAATTCCCAGAGTCAAGCTTTGGGGGTAGGAGGTGATAGGGACAGGGATGGGAGGGACAGCCTTGGACAGAGGAACTGAACTCTGTGGACCCGGATGATCATAATCTGGCAGCCATCTCCTGGAAGGCCTCACGGAACCTCTCTATGTCTCCTGTCTGTCCAAAAGGGGCTCAGCTACCCCTACGGGTACAGCAGTGCCCTGGGGACTCTGTAGCCCCTTTGAAGAAGCCACAGCGCTTCCTGTGGGACATCTGAGTGGCCCCTTGGGTCCCCTATAGCCAACCCCTGAGCCCCACTTCAAACTACTCAGCCATGAATGTAGTCAAAGCCAGCCACAGTGACAGAAGTCAAAGGAGGAAGATGAACGTCTCCAGTGCTTACAGGCCAGCCAACCCTGGGTTAATGCTGGTACCCTTCCTTAGTGGCCAAACAACAGAGTCTATTCATTTTAGAATACCCAGAACCCTCAGTGGATGCTGGGCTTAGAGGAACCCCCGACCCGTCCAAGAGTCTCTTCCTTTTGATTGTCCCAATGTTGCACAAAGTCTTCTTGTCTCAGTATTGCCCACAGCTACAGTACTGTGACTCCTACAGCATTTTGACTCCAGCAGGGCCCCAGGGCTCCATTGCCTATGTCTTCTAGTTTTGTACAAACATTTGTGAACACAAATACCATTATTAGCACATTTTAGTAGTATCTAATACTATTTAGCACATATTAGTACATTTCAACTCTAGACAACCAAGTGATTTTTTTAAAAAATGCAGGGGCTGGGAAGGTGGCTCAGTGGTAGAGTGCTTGCCTTGCACGCTTGAGGCCCTCGGTTCGATTTCTCAGCACCACATAAGCAGAAAAAGCCAGAAGTGGGGCTGAGGCTCAAGTGGTAGAGCGTGAGTCTACAGCTGAAGAGCTGAGGGACAGCGCCCAGGCCCAGAGGTCAAGCCCCACAACCTACCAAAAAAAAAAAAAAATAAGAAAAGCAGTAGTAGGGCTTGCACTCAGGGCTTTGTGTTTAGCTAGACAAGAGCTGTGATACTTGAACTACATTTCCAGCCTGGCCATATTTCAACATGTATATCATTAACTGAAATCCAACATTTTGGTAAAATTACATCCAGTGAAAAGCACAGATCTTAGATGTACATATTATTTTCTTGAGGCTTGGCTGTGGTTTAATTGGTTTGCATTTGGTGGGTAGTGTTGGAGTTGAAGGGACTCTGTCATAGAACAGGAAGGGGAAGGTAGAATGGCTTCAGGATGTGGGCACCTGCTTGGGGGGGGGACACATTATAAGAATGTTGTGCCTTCAAGATGGGTTGTGGCAGGGAGTTAGCATGGGGTCAGGACTCTGAGCTGGGCCCAGGAGGATTGGGAAAAGCATGGATATGGGGCTGGGCCTTACATTGTTGTTGTTGGTTTTTGGTGGTACTGGGGTTTGAACTCAGGGTCTAATGCTTGCCTGGCAGACTCTATTACTTGAGTCATGACCCTAGGCCTTTTTGATTTTTGTTTTGTTTGCTCATCCTAGGACTTGAACTCTGGACTTGTACTGTCCCTGAGCTCCTTTTGCCCAAATCTAGCACTCTACCATATGAGCCACACCACCACTTCTGGCTTTTTCTGTGGTTAATTGGAGTGAAGAGTCTCATGGAGGGGCTGGGAAGGTGGCTCAGTGGTAGAGCGCTTGCCTTATATGCCTGAGGCCCTGGGTTCAATTCCTCCGCACCACATAAGCAAAAAGAAAAAAGCCAGAAGTGGCGCTGTGGCTCAAGTGGTAGAGTGCTAGCCTTGAGTTGAAGAGCTGAGGGACAGCGCCCAGGCCCAGAGTT